AGAACTTGGAAATATTGGAGTATTTTGAAAACTTCTGTACATAGAAATGTCCCAATCATCTATATGGTATGCAGAATGGGTGAGAAATACATATATAGAAATGCATGCTACCACCAAGATTCTGTCTTGATTCGAGGTGGCATTCCTCATTCGTCCTTTCCATTGGCGAGCGATGAATTGAATTTACAATGCCTTCGACTGGGTTATCCCACCAATGGTTGTTCGCGTACCTACTCACATATATATATATATATATATATATAAACACATACAGATGCGTTGATATTACCGCCTCTTCAGTAAAGTCCTTGGATGTGTAAGCGCCTCGCGAAATTGCTCGTCCTGCTCTCCTGATTCCGTATCCTTTACGCCTTACGAATCCACAATGAACTTTCTCGTGTCCATCATCGACTATTTGTGGATTTCTCTCTCTCTCTATATATATACTATCTCAACGATCTTCTCTCTACTAAATTAAAAACAATTGGAAAATTGGTATGCCGTAAGTTACAGCAAACAACATTCTTCATGTAGTTGTTTTTTTTAAACTTTTCCTGATCAATAGTTTTTGATTGTTCAACATTCTTTTTTTATTTTTCTTCTAATTGTTAGATATACCCAATCAAAAATTTACTAATGGCGCAGTACTGGCGCAGTACTGGCACCCAGTATTGGCGCCAGAGTTGGCGTAACTTTGGGATGATAACATTTTACCAGTATTGGCTGCCAGAGTTGGCACCAGTACTGGTAACCACTACTGGTTCAGTACTGGTTGAGTACTGTCAGTTTTGTAATTTATTGTATACGAAAAGAAATCTTTAACTGTAACAGAGATAAGTTTAACTGCAATAGTGAAACTTATCTCTGCTCCAGATAATACTTTTTTGGTATACTTAGGAAAAAGTGTCTGAAATTTTTAGTAACCTAACACAAATTAAATATTAATTAAATTAGTCAACTAACTAATTAATATTTTCTTATATAAAATAAATACTGAACCAGTACTGCGCCAGTAGTCAACTCTGGTATAATACTGAAATTTTTGGTTGGGTAAATATAGAAAATTATCTGCCATTTCTAAAAGTTTTGTTCTTCGTTTAATTATTAATTTTCCTTTTTGAAATTTCCCACTGTAAGATTCTTTTCTGACACAATGTTCAAGGTTTCCGCACATCTTGAATATATGTGTTGTATATATATATATATAAGAAAGAGAGAAACAGAAAATAGTTCAGTCTAGCGAGTGGAGAGACATGGAAAAAGATTTGAGAGATTTCGCGAAAGCAAAGAGTAGTACGATTCATGTGTAAAGAGGTTGGCTCAACATAGAGAGGATGCAAGATCAAATAAATAAATCGAATCTCTGGTTGAGAGAAATGTATTGTATGGTGCTTTCTTTGTATTCTCCAAAAAATAGAATTATAGTTACCTTGAAAAGCTTATATATATATATATATTGGAATTTAATATATTTCGGACAAAATATTTGCAACAAGCGAGAAATATTTTTGAAATTCTTACTAGGCTCTAAAGGTATTTTATTTTTTTGTAATCTTTTTGTAATTTTTCAATTTGTCATAAATATTATTGTCATAAATGGAGAAAAGTACACGAGGGTCCAGAACATGTTTCATGACATTTTAATATGACTGTCAAATTCGGTTGTGGACATACTCAAAGTAGTTCGGTTGTGGTCAGCACTTTTTTTTCAGAAATCGTTAAATATCTTCATTATTTAGTGAGGATGGTAATTTTGTTTTTGAATTTTAATATTGTAGTTAAGATAGTAAATAGGTGTCTCCTATTAAGTATTTCATTAACCTAATCATATATCTGATGAGGTAGAAATTTAATTGACCGACAGTCAAATTTTTATGTACGAAACTCGTATCTTCCTTATTGTTATCATTATTAATTTTGCTTAGGCAAAAGTTATGAGTTAAAAATAAAATACCCCTTTCTCTTCTTCGCGATCTATTTTTTTTTCTTTTTATTATTGCAATTTTGAATTAATTGTACAATCTGCATACATTTTACGTGTAAATATCTCCAAAAGATAACTTCAGGAATTTCCTTGTAAATATCCTAATGTAGATAACGGGTAAAAAATAATTTCAACATTAAATTCAAAATCAGTTTTTAGTTACAATAAATTAATTAAAAATTCTTTCAAATAATTCCTTAATAATTAAATTAACTCAAAATAATTAATTAATTCAAAAAATTGTTTTTTTTGTAATTCTAGTCCTGAAGGTCCATGTTCATGGTGAAATGCATAGACAAAAATTTGTAAATAAATAATTTAACAAAATTTTGACATATTGAAAATAACGTAATTCTCTTAATAAAGACCTAAGGCCACAAATTTCAAACATGAAATAAACACTTATGTATAAAATAATAAAAACATTTAATATAATAATTGTATTTTCATTTTCCTCAATTGAATCTATTGAGGTTTCTCAAAGAATTTTATTTTTAACTATTGCGAATCAATTTTTAAAAAAGGCGTTTGGATTTAGATAGCCTCAGTCCAACTGGAGTTATAAGCACTCGTCGATGTAAGAGGAAGAAGAAGAAGAAGAAGTAAAAAAGAGGGAAGGGGAAAACTGGTGGCTTACTGCGCCACAGGACATCCCGCAGGATGTTTCAATTGGAGCTAGATTGGCGAATCCTGTTATCTTGTATTACTATTTTCTCCTTTCAAGCACAATACACTGGATTTAGTCGTTACAAAAAGAAATCAGTACAAACATTTTAAAGGGAGTTTTTTTTAACAATGTCCTTTACAATGGTTGCACTTCAATCTAAAAAATATATTTATATGTTCTGTTTTCTTTTTTTTTGTGTGTGAGAGAGAGAAATTAAAGATAGTCTCGTTTAATCAAACTATTAAAGAGTTAGAAGTAATATAAGGAAAAAAAACTCTTATACACACTAACGAACTCGTTTTCCAAGGATTATGCATTAGAACTTAATCCGCAGTGGAGACGAGCGCAGAAATGACGCTGGATGTAAGTAACGGAACGTAAGAGTCGTTTGCATAATGAATTTTCGCTCTTATAGCTATGGCACCTGAATATTGATTGAATAATAAGCAAAATCTGCCACATCGTCATCACGGTTTTTACTCTTGTAACAGAGAACATGCTCATATTAAATTTTCTAACATAGTGCGCGGTTGCGGTTAAATTAAAATTTATTATTAGTTATTGTATTTTCTAAAGTTTTTCTTAAATTCAATAAATTACTTATAGTGTCACCTAGTTATAAATAAATATTAATTATTCATTTAATTTAGTTATTAATCAATATAACGGAATTTTTTTTTAAAAATCGATTATTTGAAATTTGTTACTTAAGAATTTTCAAGATTACTGCGTTTACAAATTTAAATATTTCATCCGATTAAATCATTAGAAGATGCTGAATTGCTTCAATCCAACCTTAACGATTTTGATCGGTGGTGCCTGAATAATAAGCTCAAATTAAACTTAGAGAAATGCTATATTGTTAGCTATACGCGGCGTGAGACTGATAAGCCACAAGTACTTTATAGATAACATTGAATTAACTAGAAAAGATTCGATCCGCGATTTAGGCGTTCTGTTTGATTCGAAATTAACTTTTATACCTCATGTAGAAGCTGTTGAATTAAGTGCCACTAGGTCTCTGGGAAGCTTAATTAGGAATGCTCGAAACTTTAAAAATATAGATACTTTTATTTTATTATTTAATGCCCTTGTTCTTTCCAAATTTAACTATGCAACGATCCCATGGAATTCTGTCTTTGATAAATATATTCAAAACCTTGAAAAAATTCAAAAAAGATTTTTAAAGTTTCTATCTTTTCGAAAGAATCATGTTTACCCCCCACGAGGATCTGATTACTATGAATTATGCAAAAACTTTAATTTCTTAACCTTAGCGGAACGTCGATTTATAAATCAATCAATTTTTCTATTTAAACTGCTTAATTATACAATTAATTGTCCAAATCTTCTTGAATTGATAAGACTAAAAATTCCGAGACAACAATCACGTTATTATCAGCCATTTTCGCTACCTATGCCTCACTCTACAGTGGGTTTTGCTGCACCCATATATAATATGTGCAATGGCATTAATGTAATGTGTTTACACCATGATGTAAATATAGACTTTTTTGGAATGTCCTTAAATTCCTTTAAAAGCGTTATCAAAGATTATATTATTGCTCGGCGTTGGATTTTAGTTTACTTAACAATATATTCTTCTTTTTATAATATATTAGTATAATGCTGTTATTAAGATCTAATATTTTACAATGTATTCTTTTTGTTCTTATGATTGATGCAATTTTTATTTTTTGTTATTATGTAGATCTTATATTCTTCAATTATTTTTGTTATTTTCGTTTCACAGAAATGTATTGCCCTTCAATGGTCTTTTGACAGTGGGCTCGATATTTTGATTCAAATAAAAAAAATTAATATTTCATAGAATTATTAAAACATATAACGGAAATAAAATTAATTACTACTGAAATTGTAAAATTACGACCTTAAAAAATATTCTAGTAAAAGGCATACGAGAAAATTAAACCTGAAATATAATCATAAAATTGAAAGAATTCCTGAATGAAACTTGACTATGAATATGCATCTCTCTTAACGCGCCAGAGAGATGAAGAAGTGAGTGCAGAAAGTTCGAGAAACTTCTCTGTAATCGTCTTCGCGTGCTATCTTCAAGATGCTTCTAGTTAATCTAGTTCCAGTTATCAAACGTGAAATTCTATTATACAAGAATTTCTTCGTTTTCTGAATTTTATGAAATGTTTTCAACAAAAAATTTCTGTTAATTATTATAAGAATTATATTCTAACAGATATTATATTGATCCTCTTGTCTATTCATAATTACTTTTAATAATCTTCTCATACATATGCGAGAAGAAAAAAATAGAAATCAATTATTTTCAAAACTAAATATAATTGTTATATATTTATTTCAAAGTCTTACCATAATCTTCTTCGTAGATAATAGCTACTTTTGTCCAATTCAAGAATGCCATAATGTCTTGATAGGCATTATTGAGTAAAGTTTGTGCGGGATGTAGATTGATGCTGAATTCTTTTGCCTCCGTGTCCAGATCAACCCTGGCTTCCAAGTGCGGAATGTCAAGAGCGTCGCAAATGCTATGTATGTGCTGTCCCAGAATTGGATTGGACGGACCAAAGATAGCCTGTACTCCAAATTTAACCTGTTGGCAGGCTGAAAAATAATGAAAACAAAGAAAAACAATAAGTAAATTTGATTTAATAAATGTATATTAATTTTGTAGCATAGTTGATCCAAGCAATTTTTTGTAGCAATGGTTTCGTCAATACCCAAATACTATTGGGTGATTTCAAGGAAATCAAATTATGCATTTTGTTGTAAAATGACAATTTCTAAATCAGACTTTTTTTAATTTAATTATTTGTATTTTAATATAGATTAGAAATAAACATTAAAAAGTAATGTTAAATTTCTTTCAAACTGTTTTTGTTATAAATTTGTTAATGATGTTTAGACGCCTTTTACAGCTAAGATATTTATTTATTGGTTGACATAACGTTCTTACTACATGTTTCGGCTATTTATCCCTCATCAGGTAAGTCAATGCACTTTTAAATTAAGTATAAGTATAACAAACATAAGACAAACACGTAAGAAAACAAAATCTGTAATAAATGAAAAGATTTCGATAATTATTTATTAAATTAGAATGTTAAATTATTAAAATTAAAAGAATGAAAGACTTACCACGTGTTCGATCACATTATTTTAATCTATTAATTTGATTAATTTATTTAATTCATAAAATTAAAAATTTGAAAAATTCAAATTTAAGAATCCATGGTAAATAATGAATATTTCATGGTGTTTCATGGTAATATATCTTATGACCGTATATGTTATAGCAGATTTCGAAAAAGTGAAAGGAAAAATTTTAAGGTTATGATAAAAAGTTAAAAAAATCCCTGTATTATCATATATGTAAAATATTAATTTAAGTTTAAAAGATTGATGATAAAATAGAGTCCTACATTAATCTATATGGAATTAAAAATTAAGAAGTAATGTTTAACTGTAAAAGGCCAGAAGATCTTTCATTGACAGAATGATAAAGCGGGAACTCAGAAGAGGAATATGAAAATTTTCCACATGATGAAAAATATATTAGTTAATATTTCGTGTAATTTTCTAATGACAATTCTGCAAAATATATTATTCCCCAATATCTGTTATATAAAACTGGTATTTCTTTTCTTCTATACAGAAACCTTGTGAAATGTAAAAAAATATGAAAATGAATTTATTGATTTTAAAATACAGAATATATGCGGATACACTAAAAGGCTTCGATCTAAGCTTTATTTTTTATGGACTCGTATATATATACATATATAGAATTTTCGTTTTACGAGAGTACATTTATTTTTTTTTTGACAAGTTTTTTTTTTTTTGAAAAGCTAACATACTGTTCCATTTTTCATAGCGAATTTCTCCAGTGAGTGAAGTTTATGTGTTGTACCGAAATATAAGAGGCATAGGATATTGAAATCGGAATTCAGATATGGAAAATGTTGGATAGAAGTTTTAGAAACTGGGATCTACTTCAAACTTTGCTTAACAATACGAACCTCATTTTATTGTATATAAAAGGGGGTAGTAAGATGAGGACAATAACTGGAGTTTTGGCTTTCAGAAAAGTGTTTCAAACAAATAAAATGATCATGATCAATTTGTGATCATTATAAAGAAACGAGTTATTAGAAAAAGTGTTTTAACATTTTTCCTCTATTGTTTATGATATAAATATTTTTATTTTTATTTATTCGGGTCCACATAATACCTTTGACTTCAACTTCGAACTTTTCTAATTCACTAAAAGTGGTCATTAGAAGGTCAACTATATGGTCCAGGAATAGCAGACTAATGGTAAAATTATTTTTTCATGCATTAAACACATGTAAAAAACTTTAAACGCGTTTTTCTCGAAACACGATTTTTCAAATCTGCACGCAGATTCAATCAATTTTGACTTTTTTAAATCCAAATTTTTTATCTTTAAAACAACATTTCTCACAGAAATACGTGGCCGATTATTGGATATGTTAAAATTTCTATTTTTCAGGAACAAAAAAGTACCGATTTTTTGGTCGAAAAATCGACTTGTAATTTGAAAAGCTCGCCAATTTAACAAAAATGAATATTTTCAAAATCGGCCACGTATTTCTGTAGCTATTCTAATGTAAATTAAGAAAAAAAATTTATTTTGTTCCAGATTAACTTTTGCATGCTGCGTGCAGTGGAAACCCTCCAATAAAAACCATCTTCGAAGAACGGTTCTTACTCCGTCATTTTGTAACTTTTTTTAAAAAAAAATATTTTTACAAACATAAAAATATACCTAACAATATCCTTCAATTTAATTATTTTCCTATTTCTCCTTCCACGAAAAAATAGCAAAAAAAAACGTTAAATTTCAGCCACCTACAGTCTTGTAACCCCTTAAGAATATCATATATGTTGATTTTGAACTTTTCTATATAAATAAAAATGGATATTGTGCTTTGAAAATTAGTAGTAATTACAGTTTGAAGTAATTTGACTTTAATAAATGGATATGAACTTCCATAATTTCTGTTAATGGATGTGTACGTTGATCGAAATTTGTTGAAGACATTAGATAATGATCACTTGTAATAGGGAGAATCTACTTTTACGATACAAAGTTAAAGTACTTTATAGAAATACAACAGGTGTTCAGGTTAATAAGTTGGAAAAGTGGAGGCTTTGACAAAACTCTGGTGTTATTAAAGTTGTATTAAAATGTCTTCTAATCTAACTTCCTTCATTATTATAAAGATTCTTTTACGTGAGACGCACGCAAGTTGTTTCCGAAATTCTTAATATGCTATAATACTGTTTCTAGATACAAAACTTATTCCAAAATTTAAAAACTCGAATATCTATACCGATTAGGAAATTTTACATAAAAAAAAATGAGGAATAAATCTCTTATCTCTTTATTCGTAATTAGTAAACAAATTTTGTTGCTAATTTTTTTGTTTGCAAATAATTGTGAATCAGCTTACATTATTCCAAATCTCAGAAAAATTTTCCGATTTCATGAAAAGGTGATAAAGATATGAAAAATTGAAAGTTTTTTTTTACTCTTTCTCTTTGAAAGAAAGAAATTTGAACTTGAGAAAAATTTCCTGCTCGTTGCGAAACAGATTGATTTAAAGTCATTCAAGGATCGCTTCTATTTCCTTTTAACGTGCACGTGTGTCTTCGGTATTTCATTTATTTTTTAATATCCGTCCTTTACGAGCAATGTTCTGGTAGAAATTTTCAACCTGAGGCAAAGAAACGTGGCAAAGACTAGTCAACTGTGTATGTGTGAAATAATCGAATTTCGAGCAACTCTAACATTTATTTAAATTAATATAAAAAAAAATCTTTGTTTCATAAAAAAGAGATGCAAAATTTTTACAAAATAATGTAAAAAAGTACTCTATTAAAAATTACATTTAATTAACGAATTATTCCAAGGAAATAGTTAAATGTTTATTTGCCACTAAAATCGATAAATTCATTAAAAACTTGAAGGTACTGATTCTGCTAAAATTCACCTCTTCTTTTTTTTCGTTATAAAAATTATGAAAGAAGTGAAATACGCTTTCAAAATGAATTTAAATTCAAAGATTGCTGCTACAGACAGACGAGTAGGCTTTCTAACTTACGCGGAGGAAAAGGAAAACTAGTTAAGAAGTCCTCCTTTACCGTTCTTCGTCGCTTGCAACACTTTGGAAAAATATTTCTACTCTGCAAGTATCCTTTCGACTGCAAATGACGCATCGTCGTCTTCCAAAGATCCATACCTACATTTTACCCCTATTAATGCACCCTTATGAATCTCAAAATCTATTGGGAGATGAATATTTTTTTTTTCATATTTTCCCATTGACACACTATATTTTTTCATTTAATTTATAACTATATCCACAATTATAGCTATTAACTTTTAATTAAGTAAAAACGTTTTTCTTTTTACATATACATATTTAAAATAAGTTATAAAAAAATATTTATGGATTAAAATGAAAAATTAATATATAAACATTTTATAAAATTAAACTTGCAAACAAAAGAAAAATGTTTATTTTCAAAATGTAAAACTCAACACATTGAAAATGAAAGTGAATTAAATTAAGCGGTAAAAGAAATGTGACTTCTGGGAGTTTTAGGTTTCAAGTTAAAGAGGTCAGGCATTTCAATGGAACATACAATCAGTGTAAGGACTAAGGAAAATCCAATTTTTCTCAATTTCCAGTGATGTAGAGTCAATAAATTTTGGAATTCTCTGTGCAGTTAGTTAACTTTCTTTCGCGCGTTTCTGAGTCGTATGTATAGAGATCGTGTGTGATCGAATTTTTTTTTTTATTCTATTTCTATCGATTTCACTTCAGATTGAAAATCGACCAGACGCATAGTTTACGACCAGCTAGAATTGAATACCCAACGTATATACTTTAATCTCGAGAAAGATTTTTCGATAGGTTATGTGGTCAGAGACGCGCTATATATTTCCCATGGTGATATATTTATATATATATAAAAAGAATGTTCCATTCTTATTTTACCCTCGAAACAAAGAAAGCCGTTTAAGGAATGTGTTAGAAAAATAATGGCAAAAATATATAACAAAATAAAAAGTTACGTAAAAGTGTGATTTTTTTTGTAAAATTTAATTGCTTCACTACACTTTTTCAGATATCGAAAATAAATTCCCTAAAAATATTTTTCTTTGTTAAAAGAAACAAATTTTTACAGAATATTTCTTATTTGGAATAATAAATTGCAAACTTTCTCTTCATAAATAATGAGATTTAGCTGAATATACAAACATTCTTAAGACATATGGATGGTAAAGAGAGTTTTAATTTTTTACAATCTGAACAGTATATCTATAAATACAACAGATATGAAATATGTGTTTTTTTGAAATTTATAATATTCGGTTCAAACACAATAAGCAGAAATAAAAATAAACATATTCCTTATTTTTTCAATATATAAAAATTTTAATTATTAAACATAACACATTTATTTCTAATCAGTATGCAGACTTCATCATTGAAATTAGAAGTCATCAAGGGAAAAGCTTCCTGGTGTATATATTTGGATGAGAGTCCCGAATATTGAAGAACACCAGGAAG